TTATTTATTATATTATTATATATATATATATATATATATATATATATATATATATATATATATAGACACACTTCGATTAATCTTTGTGTTGATTATATTAATCAGGCTTAACTCTTGCTTGAAAAATGGCATAATAATTGCGCCTTTGACTATTTGCTATGATGGAACGAGTGTGAGTTTCAATATCTTCAGTGATAAGGTTTGTATTAATCTAACGTCATTCTTCTCTGATCGATTTTTTTCACTGTTTAATTGATTACACATAATTGTGATTCTTGAACTATTTATTATTTATATAGGTGGCAAATATTCTAGAGTTTGCAGAAAAGTTAAAATTTAGAGATGCAGTTTCATCTGAAAAACAATTATTCGTGGAAACATTAAGTGGAGGTTAAAATTTGAAATTTAAATTTGATTAATAATTTGCTCAACTTGAAATTAATTTAATAATATGTTGGTTTTTGTTACATATAGCTCAACCTTTGCCTAGGAGAAACTCTATGCTTGGATTCTCGGAGAAGGGAAAAGAGAGGTGCATTTTTTTTTTCACTTTAGAAATTTTTATGTTTTCTAATATCCCTTACTAACATTTTTTTGTCCAACGTAACTTTTTTTTATGTTCGGATGCCTACTTAATCTCTCAATTACTTTACTATCCATCGATTATATGATCTTTACGTTGATTTTATTAACCAGGGTTTGTGGTGGCTCGAAAAATGCCAAGGAAATTTCACTTTTGACTATTTGCTACAGTGAAATGGTTGCATCTTTTTATGTCACTAGTGACAAGGTTTTTATCAATCAAATATCATTGATTTTTTTAAATTTATTTTCACTTTTTAATTGGGTTCATATAATTGTAGTTTCTCAATATTTGTTGTAAATGTAGGCGCATGATATTCTAAAATTTGCTGAAACATCAAGAGTTAGGAATGACTTTTCTCCAAACTTTGGAGGTTAAATATTTTTCTTTTCCTTATCTTATGAAAAATAAATTTATATAATATATTATTCGTTTTCTAATTATTTCAATAATATTTTGTTTTTTATTCCACATAGATTTATCATTGACAAGGAGCATCTCCTTGCCTAGATTCTTGGAGAAGCCAAAAACAAGGTGATTAATTAAATACATATCCACATACTATTTCATACTTCCTTATATCCCTTATAACTTTCTTTTCGTTATATTTTTTTTTGTTTTAGTAATAACTCTCTTACAATTTGCATATCTATCTATCTATCTATCTATCTATCTATCTATCTATTTGTCTGTCTGTCTATCTATCTATCTATTTAAAGATCTTACAGTAAAGAGAATATAAAATTAAAAGATATATTTCTAAGAACCTGCAATACATTGACTTTGTAAATACTTGTAGAAAATGCAAATATCCATCAACTAATCTTTCCGTTGATTGTATTAATCAGGCTTGACTACATTATGCCTATGACTTTTTTCTACGAAGGAAACACCACTACTCTCAATGTCTCTATTGATAAGGTTTGTATTAATCAAATGCTATTCATTTCTAATCGGTTTTGACTCACTACTTAATTAATAAAACAGACTTGTGATTTTCAAATTATTTATCATATGCGTAGGCAGTAAATATTCTAGCGTTCGTAGAAAGGTCAAATTTTGGTGATGCATGTCCATCTGGAAAAAAATTCCCCGCGGAAATATTAAGTGGAGGTTAAACAATTTTCTTTTCCTTCTCATTTGAAAAATTAAATTTGATTAATATTTTGCCTATCTTGAAATTATTTTGCTAACGTGTTGGTTTTTGTTACTTATAGATCAGCATTTGGCTAGGAGAAACTCTGTGCTTGGATTCTCAGAGAAGCAAAAAGATAGGTGAATTTTTTTCCATTTTCAAAATTTCTATATTTTCACGTTTCTAATACTATTTTCTAACATATTTTTTCAACATAACGTATATTTTTTAATAAGTCCGGACGCCAACTTAACCTCTCAAATCTAGTTTACCATAACATTTAAACTTTTTCTCCAAAATTAGTGTTAGCTTCAATAAACGAAAATTTGAAAAGACTAAGAGTATTTTTTATGAAATTATAATGGTCAATCTTTATCAAAAAGAATTCAAAGAAGTTGGTTTTGTTCCTTAAAGAGAGTACTTAATTAAATTATGTCTACAAAGCCAAGAAGAATAAATACAGCAATGAGATAAATAATTTATCATGATTAGTGTATTTATGTGTTTTTTAAGGATTTAAAAACGTTTGTCAGGATTCCTTTCCTTTAGGTGAGTTACTTTGTTTCAAACATTTTTCTTTAGAACTTTGAAGAAAATGTAATATTTTGCCCTTTTATAATTTTTTTTTTGACAATTGCTCTCTTATTATTTAAAAGAAAATATTTTTTAGATATCATATGTGTAAAAGATGAAATATTTCATATGTTAAAACTGAAGATTTTCTGGTAAAAAGAACATCGATCAAAATTTAAAATGTGTAAAAAGAAGTTGACAGACATCTATAACGTCTATATTAACTTGATTAGCACTTTAGATAATGAAAATATCCATCGATTGATTTTTTGTATTGATTTTATTTATTAGGCTTTGTGATGGCTCGAAAAATGGCTTGAGAACTGCACTTTTAACTATTTGCTACTGGGGAATGGTTGGAAATTTCAATGTCTCCAATGATGAGGTTTTCATCAATCAAATGTTATTAATTTATGATCTATTTTATCTCAATTATTAATTGGCTTCGTGCAATTGTAATTTTGATTATTTATTGTCAATGTAGGCGAATGAAATTCTAAAGTTTGCAAAAAGGTCAATAACTAATGATGTATTTTCATCAAATAGTGGAGGTCAAACATTTTTCTTTTTCTTTTCCATTTCCTATGAAAATGAAATTTGTATAATATTTTGTTCATTTTCAAATTATTTCAATGTGTTGATTTTTGTTGCATGTAGATCTATCATTGCCGAAGATAAACTCTTCGCTTAGATTCTCCGAGAAGCCACAAATAAGGTAAAAAAGTTTCTACTCTCATTTTACTTTTTTTTTTCCAAATTGATCAAATACATATATCTAAATGCAATTTCATACATTCTAATACCCTTTATAAGTTTTGTGTTGATTAGGCTTGGTTGTGAGTCGGAAAATGGCGTTAAAGTTGAACCTTTGACTATTTTTTATGATGGGAAGATTGTGGTTTATGATGTATCCATTGAGAAGGTTTTGATTAATCAAATGACATTTTGATTAGTTTTGTTTCACTGTAGAATTAAATTACACATAATTCTGATTTTTGAATTATTTGTTGTAAAATGTAGGCAACAAATATTCTTAAGTTTGTAGAAAGAGATGCAATTTCATCTAAAAAGGAATTTTCCATGGAATCATTAAGCGGAGGTTAAACACTTTTCTTTTCCTTTATATTTGAGTATTAAATTTGATTAATATTTTGTTGATCTTCAAACAATTATTTTAACGATGTGTTTGGTTTTTGTTGCATATAGATCTTCATTTGGCTAAGAGAAACTTTATGCATGGAGTTTTGGAGAATCGAAATGAGAGGTGAATTATTTTATACTCCCAAAATTTCTATGTTTTCAAGTTATTTAAAAGATATTCTCATTCCATCATCACTCGATTATAAAGGGCTGAAGCCCTCTCTCTGAAAGTCCTCTTGATATTCAAATTCAATTACTATTTTCTAATACCCTATTCTAACATTTTCTTTGTCCAACTTCACATTTTTTATGTCAAAATGACTACTTAATCTCTCAAATCTAGTTTACCATAAACCTTCCTCTTTTTTTTTTTCCTCAAAATTAATTCTAACTTCAATATATAAGTAAATAGTTTGAAAAGATATAAAGTAATTTGTATGAAATATAAAGGGTAATGTTTACCAAAAAAGAATCAAGAGAAGTGTTGTACCTTTATGAGAATAAATAAAGGAAAGAAATCCCGTAGAAGTTCGAGGAAATGAGATATCTTAATGTTTTGTAAAAAGAAAATAAAAAAATTGGCAGTAGCTATCTTGGAATTAATAAGATTTTTTTTCTCTCTTAGATTTCTTATGTGTGACAAATTCAGATATCTTATATGTTAAAAATGAGGATCTCTCGTAAAAACAACATCAAAAAATTTAAAATATACAAGAAAATTGGCAAACACACATAACGTTGGAATTATCTCGGTTAATGCTTTTGATGATGAAAATACTCATCGATTGATCTGTGTGTTTATTTTATTAATTAGGTTTTGTCCTCCGGGATTCGAAGACATAAAAATTGCGCCTCTGAGTATCATCTACAATGGAAAACTTGCGATTTTCGATGTCCGGAGTTACAAGGTTTTTATCAATTAATTGTCATTGATCTTTAATCTATGTCCTTTACTTTTGCAGTGGTTATATATAATTGTGATTTATGAATAATATATTTGTATACATAGGTGGATGAAATTCTAAAGTTCGCAGAATCGTCAAAACAACAAACCTTAAGCCAAGGTTAAACATTTTCTTTCCCTTCTCCTTTGAAATTAAAAATTGATTAATGTTTTGTTCATCTTTGAATTATTTCAATATGTTGGTTTCTGTTACATGTAGATGTATTGACAACGAGAAAATCCTCAGTTAGATTCTTGGAGAAGCGACAAGAGAGGTTAGTATTCATCTATTTTTTTTAAAAAAAAATTAAATGACATTGACATTGTCATATTAAACCTAAAAATCATATATATTCACAATCAGCTTGTATTAATTAAGTGTTTTATTAGTAGTCTCTTTAGAAGTTGTGAGAAAATTAAATTTCTTCTCCTCTTATAGTAATTTTTTTTTTTGCAATAGCTTTTTAATAAGATGAATAATTGAAAATTGTTTGTCCTTTTCAGTTTCCTCATATGTAAAGATAATGAAAATATTCTATATGTAAAAATGAAGATCTCTCTTAAAAAAATAAAAAATTTAAAAATAATTTTTTTGCTTTGCATTCTTTTAAAGAGCTAGAAAACGATTCCTTTCCTCTAGTCAATTATGACATTCATTTTATCAATTAGCTTTTAAGCTTTGAGTGCTCTTTCTAATATATGTCAATTTGAAAAATCTTCATATCTAACATTGTAAATTCATATGTTACTACTACTACATTACATTTTTTCACATTTATAATTAATATCTGCATTACTAATTCTAAAAATTTATTTATGTTTTGCAGGATGACTATGGTGTCACCTTATGGTTTTCCCCATGCTGCCCCTGAAAATAAGAAATAGAAGAAGATATTAGTGGTATACATATATCATATATGAATGTTTATGGAAAATATTTATTTTGAGGATTTGGTTATTATTTTACTAGAGTTTATTATGTTGCTAAGATGTTAATTTTACCAATCAAAACTATAACATAAAACTTGCATTGTCTATTATTTTGTGTGAAAGATTTGTTTCGTTTTATGTGTTGGTTTTAAAATAATGTGTGGGTTTTTAGCCTCAAAAGTAGTTTTGTATGTTGGTTTTAAAATAATGCGTGGTTTTTAAAGTACTAGTGTTTGCATTGGACATTACACCCTTTGAGGTGTGGCCCCTTCTCCGAACTATGTTAATGCGGAAAGCTTTAATTACTAATGCTTACATTAGGCTAGATTGTTCACTTAACATTTTTTGAAGTGTGACCCTTCTTGAACTTTTCTACAGCGGGATGTTTCTATTTTTCCATTTTTCTTGTTTTAGACATAATCTCTCGTAGTAATGCTTGCATTAGGGTGGCTGTCCAAACTACATCTTTTGAGGTGTGGTCCTTTTTCAATCAGGATGTTTTGGTTAATAATGCTTGTATTAGGGTAGACTATCTAGAGTATGTCCTTTGAGGTGCAACTCTTTTCCAAACTTCGCTAACGTGGGATGCTTTGAGCAATAAGCTACCTATTATTGTTAGCATTTATAACCTTCATCATGATTCTAATCTATTAATCACATCCCTTACTGATGCCTGTTTTATTTGTGGGGTTGCTAATGTTAGTGCTAGGATTTCATTGTATGCCTTGATGCTATTAGTTTTTCTAGTGTGTTGCAAGCATGTAAATCTTCAACATCCATGTCAATTGGTTGTTCCTCCTTTATAAATTTATTTACAAAAATAGTGTTATTTCTTGTTTATCCCGCAGCAACACAAGTATTGAGAAACTTTTTCAACTAAGGGTTATGTAGATTGGAAGACATAACAATGTTTTTGTGCTTTGTTGGGATTTGAATCTCAATTTTGAAAATTGGATAAAAGGACATGTCCTCAAGCTTTCGAAAATGATTTGACAATGTTCTCCGTCATACTTTTCGTCCATCTGAACCCTTGCCTTTCAATAATCAGTGCACATTTTCCCCTTCCACTAACCGAACACTCATTACGTACACGTGGTGCAATCCTACGCCACAATCTGGGTTGACAAATATTTTAAGCCAAATTTCAAAATCCACACATAACCCATTTAACCTACTCGATTTACCTATAATAAACTCCCTAAAATCCTAAGAAAGAACCCTAAACTCGTTACTTTCGTTCATCTCACAAACAAAAATCCTAGTTCATCAGACGTAAAATACTCGCTCGTCTCCGTCATTCTTGGTGGATTCACTCAGATCCGGTCATAGGTACTAACACTTTTACTAATGTGATTACTAACTAATGTAATGTGACTTATACTAACTAATGCGAGTACTTACATTGTTTGTTTGACTGTCACTTTTTATTCTTTCTTCTTTATTCCTAATTTGGCTATTAATTAATGTAATGTGATTTATACTAACTAATGTGAGCACTTATAATATAACTTTTTTTTTCTATCCTTTATTCCAATGTGACTACTAACTAATGTAACGTGACTTTGTTAAATTCTTTAAGTCTGACTTATGTGACTTAATACACTAACTAATGTAACTTACTTATATGCCATACTAACTATGTGACTGACTTATGCTTACTAATATGTCCGACTGAGTTACATGTCAAATTCTTTAATACTTAAATTGAAACATCCCGTCTTAGAAATAGTTAGATTTATTAGAAAAAACTAATTTGGAAAAGCTAAATTTAGAATTTTGCAAGTTATGATTAAGTTTTGAGTTTTGGGTCAACTTTAAACGACCATAATTTTCAGTACATTATGAGTTAGGTGGCCATAAGATATAAAATGAAATGTATTTAAATCTTCTTTCTAGCGCCATCGATGCCGTATTAGAAATAGTTAGATTTATTTGAAAAAACTAATTTGGAAAAGCTAAGTTGAGAATTTCGCAAGCTATGATTAAGTTTTGAGTTTTGGGTCAACTTCAAACCATAATTTTCAGTACATGATGAGTTAGGTGGCCATAAGATATAAAATGAAATGTACTTAAATCATCTTTCCAGCACCATCGAGATATGCCTATTTAAAGTTAGTTTGTTTAGTTAAGAAAAATTACCTAAATTTATGAGAAGTATCTTGATCTTTTCCTTACCCCTTCAACTTATAACGTTTTTAGTAGGGTTGTACATGACCGGTTGGTTAAGGTTTTTTCAAATATAAAACCAAATCATTCATGTAAAAATTTTAAATTTATAAACCAAACCAAACCAATAAAGTTCGTATTTTTTTGGGTTTTTCAACCTTGGGTTGGTTCGGATTTTTCAAATACCAAATCAAACCACTGTGTCGAATTTTAAATTCATAAATCAAAACAAACTAACTTTGGATTTTTCCAGATTTTTGGATTTTCGGTAAATACAAACATATTATTAACTTGTGTTCCAAATATTTCTTTGGCCCAACCTAATACAATTATCTAAGGTGATTTAAAAAAAAAAATATGAGATGAGTATTGATGACACAAAAATATTCAATAAAAAATAACTATTAAATCATCATATAAAGTAAATATTGTAAAGTCATAATAAAAATAATCATAATTTAAAAGTACTAATTATGCTAAATAATTTTAATAAGTATTAGTTACATTATTAAATATTTAAAAAAAGATTATGTATTTTAATTGTCTAAATTACTGTAAAACTAAATAACAAATATTCAATATTATTTTCATTCTTAGTGTTGAATTGATTTTCTTTTTGTATCAGTATTAATCTGATTTTGATTTAATTTTTATTATAATTATCAACATCTATGAACTATAATCTTTATTGGACCATTTCGAATTATAAGTTCTAAACTTGAAATAATATATTAAAAGAAAAAAAAACTATGAAATAGTATAAGAAATATTTTAAAATGATATCAAAGTGAATAGTTTTTTGTATAAAATAAAATTTTAAAACTAGATATAATGTCAGGTTGGTTTGGTCTCGGATTATTTTTTTTTATTTAAAACCAAGCCAACCCAAATATAACCGGGATTTTTTTCAATACCAAACCAAGTCAAACCAAATCACTAGTAGGGATTTTTTTCCGGTTTGAATCGATTTGCAGTTTGGTTTGATTTTCGGTTCGATTTTGTAGGGGTCTAAACTAATTTGGTTCAACTTACACAATCTTAAATTATGCAGGGATTTTAGAGTAAGGAGTTCAATAGGAGAAAAGTCAAGGCGTTCTTAGATATTTCTTGCGGAATTAAAGGTTGTTTCATCAAGGGTTGATCCCTAAAGAGGTTGTGAGTTCACATAACGTTGGGTTCGTGTACCCACACACCAATCGTGATTGTTTCAACTTAATTTCTTTAACCCACACACAAAAGATTGGAGTTCTTGATGAGTTTCATTGAAGAGTTTTTTCATAATCTTGATTGTTGAGGTTTTGATAAGTTATTGAGATGACCGTACGAGTTTTAAGGTTATCTTTTAGTAGATTATTCTGTACTATTGTTGGGTATTGAATTCTAAGTGATTAGGGAAGAAACCATTCGATTCTAGACGAATTGGGGTTAAAAATGAGGAAGGAAAAATTAGAGCAGAATGTGGCACGCACGTCTGCGTTGCAAACTTGCTTCCCCAGTGGAAAAGTTTTCGTAGAGGACTCAGACTCCACTTTTTAAAAATTATTTCACAACCAAATATTTAAATTCATTTGCACGTCATGGACTTGCTTCCCTAGGAATGTTTTTGACCATTTCTCATGATTAACTATCTAAAAACATTTTTATTCATCATGATATCCTTCCTATCGCAAATCATAATCTTCAATTCATAATTAAAATTCAGCATAGAGTTAAGAGTCAAATCTTGAGAGTTATTCGAGCCATTTTAAGAAGCCTTTTACAAATCTTCTAAACTTGTTTAAGACTTAAGCATTGAGTTTATGGAAGAGTTGAGTTCAGTTTTTAAAAATGATATATGAGACCTAAATATTTCAAAAAAAGTAAATGTTTTCACATTCCAGATGAGAGGAAACACTGACTTCCAAAAGAGTTTTCGTGAGCAGTTCTGAGTACCATCTCTTTTAAGAGATACATTTTTTAGTAATAATCTCAAACCACAAAAAAGTCATGTTCTTAACAATACACTACATCAAAAATGATCTTTTTCTTTAATTAATTCTTAATTTTCGCTAAAGATGCATTTTTAACGACAATTAACACTTTTTGTATATGTCCCTAAAGTTTTTTGCGACATTGGTTCTAATGACACTTAAATAATGCCGGTAAAAATGTTACCACTCTTTATTAATGTCAATATCTATTGATGCTAAAAGTTGTTTTTATTATACTGATATGAGCTTGTTATATTTTGGGATTAATATTAAGGATCAATATGGAGACGAGTTCAGATAACACAAAGTCTCCATAAACCATGTAGTCAATGTGGGTAGAAAGTGTCATAAATTTAGATAATTCATTAATGATTTTTAGCACAGACTAGTGGATCCACATAGTAAATAGTCCTATACCCCGACTAAGTATATGATAGTTCTGTCGGCATGGGCGAGACATTGTATCATGATATACTTCACAATGATGGTTGTCGGTTAGAGAATCACTCACAGATTTACTTGTATTTTCATATTCAAACCTAAGTTACTATGGTCTTTTTCAAAACACTGAGTTGTTATTGACATGTTTTAATTTTTTTATACTGCATCTTTATTACTGCTTTATACTAAAATGAGTTGAGTTAAGACGAAAAAAGTTTTTCAGTTCCCTTTCAATCTTATGTCTTGCTTTAGAATTCTCCTCACGAGCTCGTAAATTTCATCTACTTATGTTACTTGGCCTGCATCTTTTATGATGTAGATACAGGTAACAAGGATCGACGTCTGGCGCTTCGTTGATTGTGTTGAGCTTCAAAGTTATGGGGGAGTCTTCTTGCTTTCCTGAGGATCCCTACTTGTTATCTTTCAGTTATTACAACTTCTAGGATGATCGAAAGTCTTGTTCCGACATCACTCATATTATAAGGGGCTTTATAGATGTATAGACAATAGTTCATGAGTCTTTTCATT